AGCAGCGGGCGGGGGGCGATAGTAGGCGGCGCTACTCGTTTATGGCGGGGGGGGGGGGGGGGGGGGGGGGGGTTAGTAATCAACATCAAAATAGAATTCTACATTTGAATGTTTTTCTTTCTTGAAGAGATAACATTTCTTTTGATTTAAGAATACAATTATTATAGAGGAAGCAGCTGACTCCAGAACTTTGAGAGTCACTTAAAAAGAAATATTATGCATGAGTCTCTTACGAACTGTAATTTTCTTATGTTTGAATAGAATAATTGATTGTGGAAAAACATCTGATTGATACACACAAGTTTTTTGTTATAGTAATTATCTTCCAATCTATGGAAGACTTATTTCTTAACTATCTTCTCTAAGAATATCAACAAACATAATATATTCAAAGTAACTAATTTTCAATATTTTACTTTCCGTTTAGATATGCATGCTATTAATTTACAATTATCAAATATTATGATGTTTTCATCAATATATCGTTCAGTTTATGACAACATATTCTCGAATGTTTGTTTTTCTTTCGAAAATAAAAATTTCAAATAAAACAAACATAAGTCATATGATATTGTTTAATTATTTTTTTTTTCAGATCGATTGTTAATATCTTATCTTTTATTTTATTATTCTTAAATTGGTAATGAATGAAAAATGAATACTACAACTAAATTAGTTCTAATATTTGGTTTGGGTTCACTAGCTGCACTCATATTAATTGGTATAATAGTTTTACTAACAAAATTTTTTCTTAAACGTTGTCGTAGAAAAGCTTGGAATGATATACATACAATACCGAAACACACAGATTCATTCGATAATAATATAAATCATCGTATATTAAATAAACATACATCATTAGACCGTCAACCATTATATCAATCCGCAACAAATAATGCTATGGATATACATGAAGGTCAAATATCTATTCCAATAAATGAGAATGATACAGCATCATCTAATCAACGTCAATATGACAGTACAAAATCACATGATCCTACAATTGTACAAATTCAACGTGATCGTTTAAATCATATTAAAGAACAAGAAAATCGTACACGACCTATGATACGTACAACTGATGGTGAAGATGTTATACAACATACTATTGATCAAGTACAAAAAGAATTTGACGAATCGGTATGATTTACATGACATTCAATTGAATAAAACTTAAGTTTCTTTCTCGCTTTCTCTCTCTCTCTCTACATATATATTTTGAGGATGATTCTTATCAAGAATAATTTCCACAGTTATTAATTTTGTTCCATTTTTTTTTGTCATCTACTTTAACGTTAAAGTCTTTCATTTTCACGGAAAAAGAATATGTGTTAAATATTGTTTTTGTGTATTGTTTTCATTTATTATAGTTAGATACAGCTGCTCTCAAAATGAAACATCATCAAGATAACTAAGTCAGCTAAATTAAAAAAAAAACTAACTATTCTTTTTATTATATCAATCATCGATCTTTTATTTTCTCTTCTCGGCTTTATTACATTTTGCTTCTCTGCTTATTTTCTTCCATTTTGCTAAATATCATCTTTATGATCTGTCTTCGGTATTCGATGCTTTCTTTTTTAAAAATCTCTATTGGGTTGAATGAACTTTATCGAAATGAATGGAAAAAGTAACGTTCATGTATCGAATGATTATTTGTTCTTAAAGAAATAAATAGGGATGATTTCCTTTTTCTTTTTTTATCAAAACTTGATTATTATATTTCTTGATTTTTCTTTTTGTGCGATCATTAATATATTATAAAGATAATGAATCACTTAACATTTGAAATTGCTTTTTTTTTGGCGAAAATCAAACTAAAGATGAAGATTTTGTAAATAGTCTTAACAAAATATAAGTGAACCACAAAGAATGATCTTCTCATGAGAGAAAGCCTCTCACTATCTAATCGTTTTCTTGCATCAAATCTAGAGAGTTGGGGGGGGGGGGGGGGGGGGCGAACCCCATCAAACCACCAACAGCCACGTTTTTTCTTAGGACGCAANTATTTCAAGGTAAAAAAAAAAACAAAAAACAAAACAAAACTTTCCCCCTCCCTACGAAGACCCATCTCTTCTTTGTTTTGCTTCTGGGTGGACGGGGGGGGGGGGGGGGGGGGGGGGGGGGGGGGAGTCCGAAACTCATCTAACCACGTACAGTCACGTTATTCTGTAGGAATCAAAAGGAAAAGGAAAGAACAATGTTTCTAGTGGCATCAATAATGATTTTTGAACTCTACAAGCTGGATGAATAAAAAAAAACTGTTGACTAGAAAAAAATGATCTTCCGGGAAATGAGTTCCTGGGAGATATACCCACAATCCAGGAATTGAAATTAAAGAAGATCAAATAAAATTCAATGTGTGAAACGCTCATGTCAAGATCGTATTTGGGAGTCTCGGTAAAATCGTCAATAGAATTGTATGTAACAGTGTTTTGAGTCGCCCTCATTGTAGGATATTAGTTCACTGTTGTTGAACTTTCAATTTTTGCATGGTAGGTACTGTTGTTCATTTTAAATTCTATATGATTGTGACGCTTTTGCAGCGTTCGTAGTTTTGACATATACTCATTTTTGTTCGATGAAACAAATGATTAATCTAATTGTAAAAACTTTCAAAAAGATTCTTTTCCGTAGTTATTTTATTGCAAATTTTCACTCTCCAATTTATACTCTTTATTTTATTTAATGTTTGTCTCGATTGTGAAATCTGTAAATTCATCTCATATAACCATAGTATGACGAAATTAAAATGAAATTATTTCAACAACTGAAAAAAGATAATTTCTAATAGAATTAGACGATGAATCTTTGAATGAAAAAAGAATTATTCCAGTGAATGAACAGATAGTCGGTATATTTCAAAACGACGAAGAGGATTCCTCTTTATAGTCCGTCTGTCTATTTTTCTTTCTAATCGTTATCCTAATAGAATACAAAATGTTAATTTTGTAAATTCAAATTGATATAACAATTTTTAAATATATATTTTTCTGTATTATTTATTACACTTGAGCAAATCAATCTTTATTGGACGGAAACACCAATTCGACATTTTATTGACTTTCAGTCTGATATCGTGATGTGTAAAACTGAGTTCAACAGAACAACAGGTAAAAATTTTCTAGGCGACAGAAATAAAACAAAGTACTTATTCATTGAAATGAATGAATCATAGATTATTTGGCGTAAAAATTAGTAATCATATTTTTAACGCTATGAGTAATACTAAATTCCACCAATGTCTAAACATTAGACATCGTTTTATAAAGAAGAAAAAAAAACGACGACCGATCTGATATATTCTTTTATTATTTCCATGTAAGTTATCAAAGGTTATCAAAATTCTCTGACTGTACGTAAGCATAATAATCGATTAAAAATTAATGTCAAGAACATTGACATTTTTCGATAAGTTATGTATAGATTATAAATGAAGAATATTAGTTTGTGATTTGTTTTTTCGATTTGAAACAAGAATTTTTATCCAACGAAAAATATTCACTGAATCATTGGATGATTATAACGAATTAATATACTAGAAGAAAATGTACTTAGATTTTTTAAAATTCAATAGTCAATTTTAAGTTTTCGTTGAAGAAATATTTTTTCTATTGATAATTACAAACTTGGAAATATAAATACATGAGAACATTTAAATCTTTCAATTTATTATATGATGGTTTTTATTTCAATCTTTACCTTAAGGTCATTGAGTAGTTTTAATTAACTTAATCTTATCTTCCTAAGGAAAGAAAAGAAAATGTACATTTACTTCTTTCAGTATTATATTCTTCTTAAAACGTAATAGGTAAGATATGTAATTAAATCAAAAGATTGAGAGTACGGAGTTAAAATATCCTTAATTTATTCTGCGGTATCGATCAAAAAAGGTAATTTTGAACAAAAAAAAACATTATTTTATTTTTTTTTCTGCCTTTACAGTTATCTTCAAGCTTTTTTTGCTCTGTTATTTTAACGTGCTTCCGTACACTAATGTAAATCAGTCGTACAAACTTGATTCAATTTCTTTTTTTTTATTAGATGTCCTTTAACGAGTATGTAACGTATGCCAATCAGTTATTATTATTCTTCTTTTTTTTTGTTGTTGTTGTGTTAACATTTTATATATTTCTTTTCATTTGGAAGATCTAATATAAGTTATATCACTATAAAATTCTCTTTTGATAAGTGTACAGATGACTCAATTCTAGCAAATATACAAAAGATAATTTGTTGTATTTTAACAAATGCTTGTGATGAGTGTGTTTTTTACGATTCGATAGACATACTACACACGCATACGTTGAGCAAATAAGCAGCCCTGTATCCTTTTCCTTCTCTGTCTGTCTATGCAATAAGTAGTGTCATACGCAAAAAGTTTAACGCTTTAAATGTGCTGTTTATTACACTTCTTCTCTTCCTCTCTCTCTCTCTCTCTATTCGATGCCAACCTTACCATTGCATCAATATATTTGTCCTTCACTAACACAGGTAAAATCTAATCACATTTTTTTTATGCCAATGTAACCACATAGAAATGTAGACTGATCAATGTCACTACACTGTATAATGCATAATTATAAATATGTAATCATGTAGTAAAATTTGACAATCAGTTGCATGAAATATTGTTGTACTATGAAGAGATTCATGACGAGTTGCAAAGCTATGTTCGAATAATTTTCTTCTTTGTTCAAATTCGAAAAAAAAGAAGAAATGATAACATAGGATTTAGAAGTACATGAACAAGGTCATATGTATCAAGCATTGTTGTATTAAAATGTATTTCAACATATTTAATCATAGACTGAGCAGCATCATTGAGTAGTTATGACTCAAGGATTATTTTAAAATGCATTAATTTGATATGATAAAATTAAATAGAGTTATTGAACGTGAGCTAAGTTACATTAAATAAACAATTTCTTTTTTTCTTTTGCGTTACAGTTGTTATCTGTTTGTTGAATCGATGAAATATTCATTTCTTTATAATTTCCTTTTTCCGGTCATGAAGAAGTCTATATTTATTAATTGTCGAATGAGTAAACGAAGTAATGAATGACCTTGTTCGTGAAATATTTGTACAAGACTTTTCTTTTGTTAACTATTTGAATTTTTTTTCTTTTTGCATATGATCATTTTATTGAACTGTATTTCCTATGTTAATCATTTCGTTGAAGATCATAAACAAGTTGACCTCGATTCAATGATTTAATATCATTCGAATCAAATAGAATCAAATGTGATAGAGATGTTTCCTTTTAAAAATAATCTTCAACTTTATTATATAATATTTGATAGGAAATAATTGTTTATTCATTACATGTCAATATTTGTTAGAAGGACTGGACATACATTGATTTATTACTATTTTTGCTGAGTTTATGTAAATTTTCAAGATATCTATAGAAAAATTCGTCGAAAGACAGAATATAAAACATCAAATATTTGAAATTGTTTTAAGCACATTAAGTTCGATTGATAATAAACCAAAAATATATTTCTCATTGACGCCAATTTTCATTTCGATCACATTTAAAGATAATTGCTTTAATTGAAAAAGTCTTTTTCTTTTAATAACATCTAGACAAAAGCATGATCTCATATACACTATCAATAAAGACACTGCTTGATGAATATGTATACTTCGATTTCCATTCGTTGATTCACACGAAATAAGTGTTTTTATATACCCTCAGAAATTTTATTACAGATGAAATTAACAATAAATATGACATTATAAAACTAGAAACAATTACAGATGGTTTAGATTTTTTGTTAAAATTAATATTTAATAAAAAAAAAAAAAGAATTTTGAGAAAAAACACATGTCCTTGCTTCAGCGACATGAGTTTATATATCTAATTATGAGTGGCAAGTTTTTGAAAACAACTTTCTTTTTGAGGTTTACAACAGAATGCAACATGTGTGGGTGTCCTTGGCCTTTTTGTTCCTTGTACATCGACATTTTTTTATGCTGACAAATGATTCATGTTTTATGTTCTTTTTTCTTGTCTTTCTTTCTTTGTCGAATCGAGACAACAAAATGACATATATCGCAAATTTTCGTTATTTTTTTTTTCTTTTCGTTGTTCTTCATCTTCAATCTATTAGCATTGTTCTCTCTTTGTCTACAGAGACGACGACAACGATGACTAAATAAACTTCAGTCATGTTGCAATTAAAATTTGGAATATGAATGAACGATAGAAAAGAAGAATTGAACCTTTTCTTCTATTTGCATCCGTGCGACAATAAAACCGAGCAGAGGCAAAAGAAAAAGTTCATATTTTTTCTCTTTTCTATACTTGCGGGCAAATTATACGTCTTTCAGTCGGTCGGCCCGTTAGCAAGTAAGCAGTAAGCGAACATAGGAAGCGTGCGTGTGGCATATATTTTTCGATCTTCATCC